ATATATATATGCATTATACATATGTATATATATATGCTTAATACTGTGTTTTGAGTACACATATGTCAATTCATTTTTAAGTTGTAAAATTTTTTAAAAATGTTATGCACATTGAGTTTAAAAAAAAATAAAAATAGAAATGCGCAGCATAAATGCTATTTATTATTATTAAGCATCTCACGATCTAGCATACTACATGCGAGTGGACCCGGTGGAGTCTAAAGTAGAATGATTATTAAAATGTGTTCTACCCGGTTATCTCCTGTTTACGCTGAAATTTTCAATATGTCCTTGAAAGAACGTGTTATACCACTCTCATGGTAATGCTCCAAAATAATTTCTGTCCGAGAGAAACTATCAATACAAAATTGGAGCGACCTAAGACCTGTGGCTTTAACGTCAGTCCTTATGAAATGTTTAGAAAAACTAGTTCTGAAAGGACAGAAGAAATAACAGAAAATATACAGGATAACAAGCAATTTGCCATCGTGCCAAGAGGGGCGTAGAGGGTGCCATTCTCATGTTCTTAGATAACATTTACAAACACATAGACACACCATGAAATTGCTGCAGGATACTTTTTTCTAATCTTTAATCAGCCTTGAACACAATCCAATCCCACATAACATTTTCAAAATTAATTAGCTTGAACATAAACAAGAACGTTTTGGCTTGGACCTTTGAGTTCTTGACCAATAGTCTTCAATACGTAAAATTAAATGGTTTAAAATCTTGATTTATTATATTCACGAACACCGAGGTGCACCCCAAGGTTGTGAAATCTCCCCTGTCTCCTTGTTGCACTCTACACCAACGACTGAACTTTTAACTGATTTGGCCCGCAGCGCTGCTGACTGTCTCCTGTGATTTGACGCAAAGCCGCTCGGCTCCTATCTCTATTGCTCCCTTTTTTTCGCATCAGTTTCCCCTCTTCTCTTTTCCCGCCTACTTTTACGTTTCAACCAATTTTTTTTCTGGTTTCATTGAATAGTATTTTGTATTCTGAATATTTCTGTATGCCACACATAGGGTTTTATCAAATTTAGATGACACCAATTGTAAGATAAGTACCACTAAGAACAAAGAAAGATACAAAAGAAGGTTCCTGCCATCTGGAATAAGGCTACTGTCAAAATAAACATTAATGTGTATAGCTGTAAATGGATGTACAGAAAAGTGGGAAGACATGGGATGACATCAAACGACTATCCCAGGATAGGGAAAGGTGGAAAGGGTTTGTTCGTGGCCTATATCCTGATCTAGGGTGAGAAAGGTGATGATGATGTATAGTTATTGGGTTTTTTATTCCATAATATATTATTTGAAACAACTCTGAAGATCTGATGTAATAAATCCTAACGTGTGATTAAAAGATGCATCTGATCTGCATACTTACGGCTGTTGTTTATTTCTCCAACCAGGGTGAACATATTCCACAAAGCCTGGGTCTCAATCAGTTTTCTGTGACGGTCGGCAACACGACCTGCGAGGTCACCTCGGTGACACACGACAAGATCGTCTGCGATGCCTATGACGTCCTCGTGAAATACCGGGCGGACCAGGAAAACAAACACGGAGGCGGGTACGAAATAGACGGGCAAAGTGGGAAGAATTGGACGAGCAGCGAGAACACAACGCTTTCTGGAAATACCACCGCAACCGCAACCACCACCAACACCACAACTGTAACGGCAGCAGCAACAACAACACTGTCCCCTAATGCGTCGTCGGAAGCTGTCGTAGTTTCTTCTGGCCCGTGGCCCACCACAACCACTTCACGAGTTTCCTTCGACAACAACAGCTCCACACCGGAAGTGGGGCGGACTCTGGGTGACTTTTTAACGTTGAGGGGTCGAGCGGTGGGTTCAGGTTCGAGCACACCTCAGCCCCACTGGTATGCCATCAGAGCTCGTCGGGCTGAAAGGAGAAGAAGAAGAAGAAGAAACCGCGAACCACAACTCTATACACTGGTGGTGAGTAGTGCGGGGAAAATGGGGGGTAGGGAGGAGAGGGATTAGGGAGGAGTGAGGGTAGGGAGGAGTGAGGGTAGGGAGGAGAGGGGTAGGGAGGAGTGGGGTAGGGAGGAGAGGGGTTAGGGAG